CCATAACTGTTAAATCACATTAAGTCAATACTTCTTCATATGAATCATATGAAGTCTGTACCTACTAAAGCACTTAGAAGGCCATCTTCAGGATCTGTCCCTTCCCCTCTCCCCAAAATAACAAGCTCTAACCTTAGAGAGCCCCAGCCAGCACCAACACTCCGCATCACTCCTCTTCAGTGATTTTGCGCTCTCTGTGCACCTCTGACTCGGACTTTGATGAATTGCGGTTAAGATGCCTGGACCCACTCTGCATACAGGTGTTCATACAACAGACCCTACTGCGATGTGGGTCGTAACTCGAACTGAGATGGAAGAAGGGGATGGCAACAACAGTTTCTAATTGAAAGCTGCATGGGTACCTCCAGGATACCTCGCGGTGTGCAGCAATGTTTGCACTGTGGAAAGCGTTGCCTCAGACACCTGCCACATCTCTGTGTGTTGTTTATCCTAGTAGTTTTTAAAATCCCTTTTGGCCCAAATAATAACTACTATGTTCTGTACTATAAAATAGCATAAGCAATTTTAAAAGCTCTCTTCTGGCTGCTGGCTGAGTGCTATCAGTTCAGGCAGAGCCTCTCCCTGCCCATTTAGCTCCTTCTGCCCAGCCCCAGCCTATTCAATGAATTACTAAAATCTAAACAGACTTCTGCATTTGAATTGATCTCCTGAAGCTATATGGAGCTAAAGCAGAAGAACATTGTATGCGATTGCATGCCTGCTGCAAAACAAGATAAATACCTGTACCTCTTCCACTCCTACATAATCAAAACAACGAGGACAAATAGCTGTGTATCAGCTTCATTACCACCTTTCTTGGATCTAATTTTTCTTGGGGACATAGGAAAACATTACAAAAAATGCATGACCAAACAGGATTTTCCAAGACCAACATTTAACAAAGACAAACAGTAAAAATCTGGAGCTAAACCATGCCATGCTACAGAGATGTCCTCCTTTCTCCTGAAGAACTCTACTCCAGTAACATGTACGTGCACATGAATGAAGGCACAAGTTCCCTCCCATGGCCCAAACACAAGCCAAGAACTCCAGCCCTACAAAATAAACAAAGTAAGGTCTGGTGTGTTTAAGACACACATTGCCAAAAATCCCTTGCCAAGACCCAGACAACTGGTAGTGGGAAGTGCCTGGGTGGTCATGGGTCTCCACATTGAACAGAACTATTATTTCTTTTGTCTTAATGACATTACAGATCCAAAGTAATTTCTGTAGATATTCTCCTTAACCTCCTCATAGCTCAGTTCTCAGTCTAGCTGACCAGAGGCAGCATTCACAAAGCCAAGCTGGTAAGCACTCATACGGTATAATTCATCTGATTTGCCTACACTAGAACCCACCCTAAAACTGCCAAATTTTTCCCCTGCTTCTCTCCACTGAGAGTCCCTGATGAACAATCAGCTGTTTATATTGCAGACATTTAGTTAGGGGAAAGATCACCATCTCCCAACACCACCACTTTAGTCTTTCCTGTAAGTCAGTGGAGTGGGCCAAGACCAGAAACAAACTTGTTATCCTACAAATGTAGCAAAATAACCCCTTCATTTAAGCCTTCTGCTCATCTACCCGTATCAATGCAACTATTTCCTAACCAAACTACTAATCTGCATATCAAAAATACAAATGGAAAACGTTCATAAAAACAAAACACAACACAGGCTGGGTGGAGAATGGACTGACAGCAGCCCTGAGGAGAAGGACTTGGGGGTGTTGGTTGACGAGAAGCTCACCATGGGCCGGCAGTGTGCACTTGCAGCCCAGAAACTAACCATGTCCTGGGCTGCAGCACCAGCAGTGTGACCAGCAGGTCGAGGGAGGGGATTGTCCCCCTCTGCTCTGATGTGGTGAGATCTCCCTGCAGTCCTGCAGCCAGCTCTGGGGCCCACAACACAAGAAGGACATGGAGCTGTTGGAGTGAGTCCAGAGAAGATTATGAAGATGGTCTGAGGGCTGGAGCACCTCTGCTATGGAGACAAGTCAGGGCTGTTCAGCTTGGAGAAGAGAATCTCTGGGCATGTAGCGATAAGAACATGGGGAGTGGTTTTAAACTGAAAGAGGAAAGATTTAGATTAGATATTAGGAAAAAATTCTTCCCCATGAGGGTTAGAAGACACTGGCACAGACTGCCCACAGAAGCTGTGGCTACCCCATCCCTGAAGTGTTCAAGGCCAGGTTGGATGGGGCTTGGAGCAACCTCAGCTAGTGGAAGGTGTCAGTGTCCCACAACAGGGGATTAGAACTGGATGAGCTTTAAGGTTCCTTCCAACCCAAATCGTTCTATGATTGTATGACCAGAATTTAACATGAGGTTTCTCAAGGAGGCTGAATCAGGAACACTGGACACCAAATAAAACCTCCTGCACCAATCAAGTCCATCCCAGCTTTCAGGATTCCTTCAGACTCCCACGAATTCTCCCTAATATGCTGCAATAAAAATGCCATCATACAGAAAAGTCTGATGACACTTAATGGAAAATTATTTGCTACAAATATTATGTGTACCAGCTCTAAGACCACAAAGCTTCTAAGCTTCCACAGCAGTTTTTTCTCTCCTCTTCCTCCCTCCTTTTGTGAAGAGGTGAAGAGGTTTTTTTCACACAGAGGATGGCCTGGACACTGACTTATGCAGTACACTTCAGCAAACACATTATTCACGAAACTTGTGTGGTTTTGGATTTTTTCTGATTTGAAGAAATTCAACTGCTCAAAAACCTATTAACCACCTAGGACATTTATAGGTGAGCCCAAGCACTGAAGAGGCTGTTTCATCCCTTCCTTTAATGAAGGACGAGGTAATTTCCAAAGATCTTCAACAAGCCACATGTTAAAACATGCTTCACCACTCTCCGGTAACAATGCGAAGTAATTACAACACTCATGTAATGTTAGTGCCTGCTTTCTGGCCACAGGTTTTAAGTTTCCCACCATGATCTTAAGTCTTCTACTGAGTCTCAAAGATAGGTGCATCTTCATCAATAACGTTAAAAACATTGCCAGCTCTACAAATCTGTGACACTCCTCTTTTTCTTCTGGTTATGGTACAAACATCTGTATTCGTTTGTGGTTTATGTCACTGGCAATTTCACAGTAAACATTAAGGAATGTGGCTGGAAGTGAATATGTAAAAGAAAAAAAAAGTTAGAAATATGTAGTTTCTCTTGCAACCACAAGTTTTGGATACTTCCATTAAAAAGAAAGACAATAAAAAGTAATACCAGAAGGTACTAACTGCTCCAAGTGACAACTGGGGACACAGAATTGAGGTTTCCTTAAAACTCTGGATCAAGTGACAGAAAACAATACTGCATTGTACTTTTTAATAGGACAGCTATACTGCAAAGCAAAGAAGAAAAGGTCAACCCCACCGAGTAAGACAAGTTGAAGCCTAAAGAGAACTAAATTCACTTTTCTGCTCCATTACTAATTCCCATGTTGTTTTTTTTGTTGTTGCTGTTGCACAAGTGGCTTTGTATGTTTTGTGGTTCCTTGTATTTAGAAAAACTTCTTAAACCCAGGGTAAAAAACCACCTATAAACATTTCCTGCTTTGTTTTTATCCTTAGGTAGAGCACACATACAGCCCTTCACCAGGAGCTTGGGGCTGAACACATATTAAAAATTTAGAGGTGCTCATATAATTTAATAGTAAGGTCTAGAGGAGTACTTAGCTTGTAATAGCCTAACTTTATTCTCTTATCACAGGTAGCTTACATTTCTGAAGTAGTATCATGCACTGTTTTACCCAATGTGTAGAAATGACATTAAAAGCACTATTAGGAAATAGCGCTACGTGAGGTCCTTAGCATTTAAGTAACAATTTAAGTTATGCTTTCCACAAAATATAATTGTGGTGTTTGGTGTTTGGATATTACTAATTACAGATATTTTTCCTATTAATAAAGTAATTGTTGCAGAAGAGTCTAGTAAGGCAACGGAAAGAAACATATCTCAAGAGCTCTTGTCTAAACATGCAACTTGGTGTTTTTTCTCCTTGAGTCATTTCAGGTAACTACACCAAGCATGATCTAGGAATGAAAAAGTATATTGAAAAGTAAAAGTGAAAAAGACCACTAAATATTATGTCACTTGGTTTGTACTTGTTTATAGTGCTAGCACATCAGAAAAAAAATAATTATAAACCTAAGTTTGTACCACGCTTAAAATATTCCACATTAAAAGAATTTATTGTATTATATAATGCTAAATAGCTTTAAACATCTCTTCAAATCCCATTTACAACCCATAGATAAAAAAGCTCACACACATTCTGCCTGCCTTAATAAACCAACAGGATACACATACATGCATGAATACATAGCATGCATATGCACACACCTGGAAAAGCTAGCTTGAAAGTGGTTCAGGTAACAAGAATATGCAGCCCAGCCCTGTATCCAAACCAGAGAGGTAATAATTCTTAGACATGGAGTTTAAAGTAACTTCAACATACAGTCACTCTGTCATTCTAAAAAGCATATTCTGGCTAGAATTACCCTGACTCTTTTAGGAATTGAATTCCAGTAATATAGTGAGAATTATGCAATGATCATATCGGCTTATTTTCAACAAAATTCTGGTTTCTTTTCCTTGAGGAAATTCCAACAGTACTTGCATGCACCACTCCTGTATTAGCAAGAGTTAGAGTCTTTTACATAATTTCTTTTTTTTTCTATATAGAAAACGTATTCAAGTTCATTTCTACTGAGGGAAAAAAAAAAGCTTTCGCTTTGTTTTCCTCATGAATAATACATTAAAAATTTAATATCAGAGTACAAATCTTCTTTTTAAGCCTCCAGAAGCAGTATGTGAATACTATTCTATTACTTTGAAATGGCTCATGCACATGTTTAAATAAGGATAAGCTATCAACTGTTGTTTTCCATAATTAAGCAATATTAACAAAATACTTCACCATTTATCAGAGCAATTCTAAAGCAATACTGCATAGTGATGTAACTGCCATCAAAAAAGATAATCGCTTACCATATCCACAATAAGGAGTATAATACATATTCATCCATAACTCACTGTTATAATCTGAAGTGGAACAGATTTTTTTCAGCCACTCATGAAAACCCGTTTGTTTACATGAAGGAGATAAGAGAATCCTGATTTCAAGTAGGCATCTGCGGTCCACATTACTAATAACATATGTAAATAAAACCAAATCCCGCAAGCAAAAGCATTTACAGCAGAAAAAATTATGTAAGAGAGCAGGGGGAACAAAATAACTGCCTATTAAAAAGATGGAAACTTCTAGGAAGAGTCCTTCTAAGAAGAGTGGTCGCATTGATCTTGTGCTGCTTGTTTAAGGCTTGACTGAAGGCTGATGGCTCCAATACAGCCTCACGCTTCCTAGTCCTTCCTAGGCTTCTATAAAAATAAACTGCGGAATATGAACCCAGATGTTTCAGAAATCAGAAAGCAAGAGTCCAATTAAATTGCTACCATGGAAGTATTTTTAAGTGTTTGCGTCTGGCAAGGCTGTGTTAGAACACAGTATTGCAGAGTTCAGTTCCCTGGAGCCTTCAAGGATAATTTCCAGGAAGCTACCAACAAGTTAACAACACTTAAAGAACTGGACAAAGTGTCCTTTGAGAAAGGAGCATGCACACTAAAATCTGCAGAATAAAGTACAAATGCACCAAATACAAACTTTGTCTTCATTTTTATGCATCGCCTCTGCCGGGAGGATGAACAGAAATGGGGGAAGAGATAAAGAGTAATTTTTCTTAAGGTAACTGAAAGCAACGTTACAGACTCAACTGTATGGCTGCAACCACAGCTTTAAGACAGTTATCAGCCAAATTATCCTTTAAAGATATCTTTAAGGTATCACGTTCCACATCAACTGGGATACTCTGATCACTACCACAGCAAGAGAGTAAGAAATGAAAAACTTTATTCTTAATTTCCTATAAATCCTTTTTAAACCATCATTAAGTTATTTGTATTTAAAGATTTCACTCAGGGCTGGATTTTCAGATGACTCTTCACTTTACCTACAAAAAGGCAAACCTAAGGTGCAACACAGAGGAAACAAAGATTCTATAATGCTTGGTTTGGTGATGAGCTCCCATATCAGAAATTGTGCAAGTGAGCTGTAAATCCTGTAAAAAATACATTCCTAACTGAGCTTCCAAAGGGACGTGAGGTCCCAGCAAGGTTTGGAATCATCATCCTCAGTTGCTTACTTTTGCAGTGTGCCCAAGAGCCAGCCTCCTGCAAAACTCCTGCTCTTCAAGTAGAGTGCTGAAACCTTCATGTTGCTTTTTCCAAAAACTTCTACCTTCCTACTTCTCAGCATTTGCTTTAGTCTTAAATAATAAAATTCATATGAGGAGCAATTTTACCTAAACCTCTCAGAAATAAAACCCTATTACTGTCTGAACTGTTAAGACAACAAGAAACTGTCAATCTGCTGAGCTGCCCTCAGTCTAGCTCCCGGGTTCAGCACAGTGAAAGGGCAGCTCTGCCTAGGCAGTGCCTGCCCCAAACGTCACTTGCGTCCCACAGCAGGAAGTCCACCCAGCAGTTGCTGGCACACAGTGCTGCGAACAGCATGGGCTATGTTTGTCCATTACCCTTTTTCCTTTTGGCTGGTGTCTCGGGTTCGTGAGCTCCTCTCCCCTTATACAGGAAGCTGGGGCCTCAAGCTTAATCCTCAACATTCAGTTCTTTTCTCTTCCAGCTACCACTACAAACATATTCTCCCTGAATTTTCTTTCTGAAGGACAGAAAGATTAACAAATTTCTGCAGCTGAACAAACAAGCTAAACATTATTCATCGCGACAGAGAGCAGATAATCTGAATCTAAAAGTACAAACAAACTTGCAACACCACTGCAAACAGATAACCATGAATGTCGTAGTATCTTTATTCATGTTTCAACATTACACTTCAGTTACTTGATGGGAGCCAGATGCAGCTGCTCTCAAGCACTTTCACTGGCTTTTGTGCAGGGCTGAGGAAGTGGCAGCAATACCAGACTTGTAGGAGATTGGTAAAATGAGGAAGATGTAGCTGCAAGCAGAAGAGCCTGGCTACAGCAGCCTGGGAACCCACTACAATAGATCAAGGGGGTAAAGGGAGAAAGGAGTCTACAATTCTAATTTATCTTCTTTTAGTCTGAAAGCAGGTGAGTTTCTCTGCACTAAGGCATCTATGCCCTCCTACTGCTCCACCTGCTCAGTCCACATCAGTCTCTGGACTCTACCATCGGACCTTTGCATCCTCTGAACAGCTTGGTTCTTTCTCAACCAAAGAGGGTCAATCTCCTTTTCCACTCTCTTAGCCATTACAACATTGCCAGGACCCCCCCTCCAGTATGTTCCCCAGGACAAGAAAACCCAAGCACCAAATTTCTGTATCTTAAAATGTAGCGTTTAGTAAAGTTATTTCTGTGTGGCCCCCTCCCAGCAGCTTCCTCAATTCCTTCACCCTGAACTTCATGGTCTAAAATAGAGCAAAAAACCCTTCCTGTCATCCTTTCCAATTATTTTGGTGCTTCCTCAATTATTGACCCTAAGTAAAACTGCTATACTATATATAAAACCATCCGCAACTCGACTAAATGTATACATGCCACTTAAGAAGGGTAGGACTAAGCAGTTTCCAGACTCCTTCAGTTGCTGACTAAAATACCACTACAGTTTTTACTGGATTTACTCTAAATAATTTTATAATATTTAAAATGTAGACAGCACAGCAGCAGCTCACTGTTGACTTAAACACCAACTGTTGTATTGAGAGCCTCATCAAAAGGAACTGATGCATCTCCGAATGACTGTGGTCTGCTCTATAAAACCAGCTACTCACCAAAAGTACCGCAGGATGCGCAAAGGGCACCACAAAATGAAGACATATTAGGGACCCATCAGTCTCTTGAGGTATTCCACAAAAAGCATTTGATATGCCTAAGAGAAAAGGTACTTTCTCAAAAGGGAGGGAAGAAGGGCTATTGCTTTAAGTGACAGCTGAATTGATTTCTTTTAGGTTCTTCGGCTTCCTGACTCAAGGTGTTGTCAGTGGTATGAAATGAACATGATGCTTTTGAACACTCATCCTCTATTCCATGTTCCACTATACATAAATGGCTAGGGGATCTCCGTAATCTCTAATGTAACAGCAAGGAGAAGTGGGAACAAAGAAGTGAATCTACACAGATTAACTATATGCAGAATTAAACATATCAGCACACCTTTTCTGTATTAAAAAATGTATGCCAATGCCAACACGAGTGTGATCTCTACTGCCAAACTATTGAAATTTTGCAGTCATGGAAACTATGGAAAGATACATAAATCAATAAACAAAAACCAGGATACCCACCCCACCCCCCAGCCCAGATGAAAAAAAGTTCTCTGCTAGCTTTTCACTGCAGGTCACCTTTACTACTCTGATTTCTTTATCCCAGCTCCTTGGAAAGTTCTCAAATCCAAATCCACTGCTCAAAACTTTACACAGCAGTTCAGAAGAAGTCTTTCCAAAACAGGGTACAGAAGGACGACTTCACCATGCTTACAAATCAGCTGTCATGTTGGAATGTGTAAACAGGCATATATCTTATTTTTACTGCTGTGTGTCAAATCCAACTACTACAAATATCTCAGGATTTTCTACAGACTAGAAACGCAACTCCTTTCTTCTCAGTTTTTGCAGTGGCTTATTCCACAAAAATCTTGAAATAGTCTGATGAAGTAACATGAAAAACACAGGATATACATTTAGTTCATCCAGCTCCTTTCTATTTTTAGTGGAAACACCCAATACGTCTTTTATTTCAGTACCGGTGGATTCAGTATATTCCCCATTGCATCATCCCAGGTCGCTAATGACTGACCAGTGCCAGACCTAGAACAGACCTGGCTCTATCCCTTCCAAGGCCCTGAACTACTAATACATTATGCAAAGACTTCTGCAGCCATTTTATAGCAGTTTATATGCAGACCACATTTTTCTAGTTTGGTGTCTTAAAAGATTCACTTCAACACGTGGTAATCTACTAATTTTTCCTTCCCTTATTACCAAGTTACAGAAATAAGTTCAGTTTCCTTGACATGGTTTATTTTTGAAAAGATAAATCTGCTGGAGATTATCGGTTTCCTTGGTTTCCTGCAGTGTTGCTTATGTTTCTGTGTTCCTTTCTGAGAACCAAAATTAGAAATTATGAATAAGGAAGCTTAAGCATTACGTTCATTCTTTTAGGTTTTTTTTAGAAGATTATTTACTCTTCCCAAGGTGCCAAAGGTAACAGCTCACAGCTCTGAAGTTGTATAGTTTCACACCAGCCACTAAGCATCCAGTGATTTAATTTGCCATCTGCTCTCAATTAAAGTCTTAGCCAAAGACTGATAAAAGCTTTTCTTCCCCCATTTTAATAAAATATTTTAGTGTCAGAACTTGGTTACTTCCTTTTCCTGCTGAGCAAGGAAAACCAAATCCTGTGTGTTCCTTTCGTTACTACCACACTCGCCAATTCTGTGTCTTCCCCATGGCCACTGATAGGTGCACGTTCTGGCAGGCACAAGTCTCAGGACATGAAAAATTAATTAAAAAAAAAAGGCAACAAAAATTCTTTTATACTTATCCCTGCTCAAATCATCCCTATTGGAAACTAGGTCAGACTCTCTGCAGGCTTCCTTCCTTCCTTTCTTCTTGTGCTGGAAAAACTTATCAAGTTTGTGAGTTACTATAATTTCTATCCTTCATTTGAACTGGGACAGCCTGTGCTTGTCTCCATAATAAAAAACTCTGTTAAACTGCCATCTCATCTTAAATCCTCTTTCAGGTTTGCATCTGAAAGAACTCTGAGTCATGTCTCCTACTTCTGAGTTTATTGAGGTTTGCCACCTCATAGCTCACTGATTTTAATGGCTTTGCTCTCTTTCTCTCTCTTCTCCCCTTGAATACTCTGATGAATGTCACCATTTCAGAGTCACCCTTTCTAAGTCACCTTCCACTTCCGTACTTCTGGTGCCTCCTTACCTATGATTTCAAAGTCACATCTTTAACAATTTCTTGGCTGCCTTTCCTACATCAAGCCCTTTGGAAAGCTAGAAGGATGTGCCGGGCAGTGTCCCCTGCTGCGCTCCTTCCCCAAGGGTCTAGCTACAAAAATCATTTCCACACCATCTTCCATGATTTTAATCACTCTGGGACTCACACAATATAAGATACATACTAATTGCAAGATGTTGTCAGGTACTTCAGTGAAAGCAGAGTAAGGATGCAAAGATGTCCAAGAAAAGCTATCTAATGTAACTGTTATCACTAGCATAACAGGCTGTAAAAGTGAGCACTGCTAAGAGTGACAGAATCACAGAATTGTTTTGGGTTGGAAGGGACCTCAAAGATCATTTAGTTCCAATCCTCCTGCCATGGGCAGGGACACCTTCCACTTGGCTCAAAACCCCATCCAACCTGGCCTCGAACGCTGCCAGGGATAGAACAGCCACAGCTTCTCTGGGCAACCTGCTCCAGTGTCTCATCACCCTTGCAGTGAAGAATTTTTTCCTTATAACTAATCTGAATCTCCCCTCTGTTACTTTAAAGCCAGAAGAGATGTGTTTGTACAGAACATGGCCACTACAGAAACTTTCTAGTGCTACTATTTTACAGTAAGTTTTATTATTACTAATATTTTATCTCACTCTTTCTCTGTAACTCCATAAATGAAGTATTTAATTTATGTGCTTTGATGGGTGCTTTATCACTTAACAGAGAGCACTCCTGAAGCTGACGTGCTACACTGAGCAAGGACAACACTGATGGTACATTGTTATGATGTATCATAGCAGAGGGCAGCAGCCTTCAAAGAGCAAACACAAA